ATGTTCCAATGTTGAGGTGGATTCAATGCTTTTACTTTATAAGTTGACTGAAATAAGATTATTATATGTGAATTAAACACAGTACTCTGGGTCACGTTTCCCATCTCCCTCACAATGTTGTCGTTGTATTGAACTAGTTGTGTTGATCTAACTGGTCAAGTTAAGTTGAATAATTACATATCTTTCTTGGTCATACTGGTATTCTTACTCTGGTCACTATCATTAATCTTCTGTTAATGTTCTCTGTTGTAGCTGAAATTTCACTTAAAAGACTCATTAGGTTATTAGTTATTTTAATTTTGTAAGTGCAGTGGTTTATAACTGCATATGATTGGTGGAGGGCCTCTTTACCATCTTTGAAGTGTGACTTGAGCTTTACTGCATCTTGAATGTGTCTTCCAGTACACCCAAGATGGAGTACAAGAATAAAAGCTAGGTAAATGTGTTACAAAATGTCACATTCTGTTTTATATTTTCTCTGCCTACCCTCAAAATATTATCGTTAATGCAAAAGATGTCACTAATTATTTGGTTGTATTAATTTTGTGGTCATCATGACCCTTCAGTAAATGTATTTTCATTAATACTTATGAGAGGGTTTTACAACTTTTTAAAAAAATATGTGAAATGTGAAATATTGCTGTCTTTTATATTAAAGTAATTAAAGCACATGTATTAAGTGAATAAAATTATTTTGTCCCTCACAAAATTGTTCTATACTCTTCCAGGGAGTCTAATATTTATTTAATAGTAATAAAACGGTAATATTTATGATCTTTTAACTCACAGGAATTTTCACAGAAAAATGATTTGGGGCCTGCTGGTGGTGTGGAGGTTGAGGCAGCTGGGTTCCACGTGACTGACTAGTTTGAGTCCTAGATCCAGTAACTTGAGAAACATGTCGGGTGCACATATGTGCATGCCCAAAATCCCCAGAGGAGAATGGAGGAGATGACATAGCGATGTGGGTATCCTTCCTTGGGGATACTTTCTCACTTTCTCTGTCTCCAGGAAGCACACACATCCTGTAGCAAATTGGGTGGAAAAAAAAAAGTGTCCATAGTAGGAGAAGATGGGTTTTATTAAAGGGTCTTCTTCATTATCTGAGACCAGTAGAAATATATTTTTTTTCTTTTGTCAATGGTAATAAACAGCAGCCTAACATCCTTCTTGTTGGTATGTTTGAATATTTTTATTTTAGACATTGGTAGGTCAGAAAGGTATATCACAGATTGCCTCAGGCAATCTCCATAGCCTAGTGGTTAAGGGTGTCAGAACTCACACGGCCAACCATGGTTCATATCCTGGCCCCAGAGGCTTGAAAAACATTCCAGCATGTGTACCCCCAAATAGGATGGCGAAATGGAGGACAAGGGATTGTGCCATGATCATTCCTCACTGGGGGAGTCTTTTCATCTCTCCCTCCCTTTCTCTCTCTCTCTCTCTCTCTCTCCCCCTCTTCTTTCTCTTCCACTATCTCTCTGGCAAGAGGAAGTGCCCTCTGACAATTAAAAAAAAAAGATCTTTCCACATTTTAAAATATCTTTCAATACATTTAACTTAGTGCTTCTTAAGCTTTGATATGAATCCAAATTATCTGGGACTCGCTAAAATGTTGGTTCTAGCCGACTGGGCCTATAGTAAGACCTGCCTTTTTGCATTTCCAATACCCGGGCAGTTTCTGCCAGTGCTGCTCCGAAGGGACCACACGTGGAGCAGCAAGGATTTAACTCACAGCTTTCCCCTGCATGTACCCAGCCTTTCTGTCTCAGTGAAATACCACCCCAGTGAAGCCTTTTGACAGCTGAAACTAATTCTGTGACCCTAGATTAGTTTCCTCTGGCTGCCACAACAAACTGTCACAAGCTTACATCTTAAAACTATACAGATGTGTTATCTCACAGTTCTGGGGGTTAGAAAGCTGAAATGGGTCTCTCTTGGCTAAAATCAGGGTAGCAGCCGGGCTGTGCTGTTTTCTGGAGGCTGTAGGAGAGGGATTTGTTTGCTTCCTGTCCACCCATATTTTTTTTGGCTTTTGTGGCCCCATTCTATCATCGTCAAAGCCAACAAAGGCAGATCTGGACCTCCTTAGGTCACATCTGTCCAGTTCACTTCTGTGCCTCCTTCTTCCTGGCTTAGGAGCTCGTGATTTAAGGTCATCTAATGCAACTTTATTCCATCTGCAGCGTTAATTCCCTTTTGCCATGCAACATTCGCAGGTTGCAGGGATTAGGGCTTGAGCTTTTTGGGAACCTTCTGTGTAATGTGGGCACTACCATGTGATTTTTGTATTTTATTTCATTCTGTTGTCGTATTTCTCTCTTTTCCCACTAGCTTATAAGCTCCTTGAAAGCAGGGCCAGCGTGTTATATTGCAGGGATTAGGGCTTGAGCTTTTTGGGAACCTTCTGTGTAATGTGGGCACTACCATGTGATTTTTGTATTTTATTTCATTCTGTTGTCGTATTTCTCTCTTTTCCCACTAGCTTATAAGCTTGAAAGCAGGGCCAGTGTGTTATATATGCATGCTCATTTGGGGACTATTTTGAGAAACTACTAAGTTCTAAACATTGTGCTGTGTGCTGGGGATGAAAGGATACCCCTAGGAGTTTTTCACAAAAGTCAGACTAATAACCTCTCAGTAGCTATGAATGGAATTAAATTGTGTGTAAGGTTTAGGAATGTCAATATATCACTAAAGTTTAGGATAATTTGTGAATTCGCCTCTTTTTTTTAGACCGTGCCAGGCAAAGTGACACGGCTTTATTTTTGCAGATAAACTGAATTGATTTTAATACATTAGGCCTTGAATTGGAAGCATCTGTAACTTTGTAGGATAATGAAATTCCTTCACTTGATGTAAATAAAGACCTTGAGAATGTAAGCAAGAGTAGTCCAGTGTATTGAATTACACTGGATCAAGAGGCATCAGTTACTGAAAAGCTTAAACATCTGTAGAAACTTAATCTAAAAAGATAATTTATTCTTCCCTCGAAACAAAACACCCTGTTATATCAAAGTATAATGTGTCTTTCTTTAAAAGGCGTAATTTCCCTTTTAAAAATTTCATAATGGATAAATATGACATTAGAGCTGGACAGAACTATACAGATCATGATCCTGGGGCCAGCAGGTGGCATGGTAGTTAAGGACCTGAACTTTCACATGGCTGACTACAGTTTACATCCCAGACCTGGCAGCTTGCTTTCTCACTTTCCCTCTCTCTCTGATAAATTAAAATGTAATTAAATGTGTGTGTGTGTGTGTTTAAAAAAGATCATGATTCCAGTGGTTCATTTCAGCTCAAAATTCTGAAATGATTTTAGTTTTCAGCTATGGTTAGCAAAGCCCAGAGATAAAAGACTTTCAAAGTTGCACAGCAGGATGAGAACCGAAGTCACCGTACTCCTTGCCCTGTACTTTCTTACATTCATTGCTAATGCTAGGGATTATCAGAAGGAAGGGGTGGGCCAGCAGGTAGTATGGCAGTTAAGGTGGCTGGTCCCACATGGCCAACTGCCCAAGTTCAGACCTGATAGCTTGAAAAACACTTCTACATACCCAATATCCTGAGAGGAAAATAGAAGAAAAGGGATTGTGACATGGCCATCCCTGCTCAAGGATGCTTTCTCTCTGTCTGTCTCTCTCCAATGAATGAATGAGTGAGTAACAAAACTTTTTAAAAAATGAAAAAAAAAAAAAAAGCTATAAAAATGTATGGAGCGGGATTCGTTTAACAGTGTTTGACCAGCAGAGCTAATAGGATTCGTATCCTTCTGCTGGCTTTCCCTGGCCCTAACCTTTAAGCCAGTCTTATTTCTTCCTACGTGGTTTTCTCTGAGGTACATTTTCTAACAAATCTCAGAGAATGGTTATATGAAAATAATCCTTTTCATTATCAAATACCTACAGATCAATTTCCCCATATCATTAAATCATTTAGTCTTACTTAATTCTCCATGAAGCATTACTGTCATTATTTAACCCTGGATTTAAAATATTAAAAAGAAAAAAATCACTTGACTACCATAATGGGATGTAGCCATTAGCTAGATGTGATTCAAAAAAGGAATTTTTAAGTTACTTGGAATTGGCTTTTAGAGTTCTATTATCTGTGTTGCCTTTTTATCTTATAAGTTGTTTCTAAGTTTTACTTACTGTGCCTGAACAGCAAACCATTTTATCAGGCAGGTTTATTTTTAGAATACAGGATATTTAAAATTTGCTGAGATACTAAATGTTCTCACCATACACACATAAATGTAACTATATGAGACGATAGACATGTGAATTAACTTCACTATGATTACTTTACAACATGTGTATATGAAAACAGGCTGTGCATCGTAAACATTCAATTTTTATGTGTTGATATCTCAATAAAGCTGGAAAAATTCAACATTGTATTTATATGCTTAAAATAAAGATTTTCTTTAAAAAGTTTATTTTTTTTTAATAAGCGAGAGAAATACACTCAACAGGGTCTTGCCTTGTTGTCCTCCTCCAGCCCCGTAGCCAGCCAGAATTATTGAACTTGGGTACACTAGGCATGCTTGGATGGGCCTGGAAGAAACCTTGGCCTCTAGTCTGGCTTCAGTATCACATAGCAGCCCCCTGCCACCTGTCCCACTGGGGCTGGCCCTCAACTCTTTTTTTTTTTTTTTCAATAGTAAATAACCTATTAATTCCTACTGAAGTAATAGTAATCTTGATTTCTGACCATAGGAACCAGAATTCTGAAATGACCTCCGAAATTCTCACCTCTCTGCTATACACACACCTTCTCCCGGTTACACGATCATTAATCTAGGTACCTAGGTTAGCTGTAAGGTTTTGCTGAGATAATTAAGGTTGCACAGCTGTTTATCTTAAATTAAGGAGCCCACCTTTTGGTCCTGAGCCAATCAGGTGAGCTCTTAAAAGGAACAGAGCGTCTCTGGGCAGAAAGTTTTCCAAGTGTGAGGGGTTTGACAGAGGGAGGTTTCATGTTAGGATGGGAGGGACCACGGGCAGACGGGGGTGGCTGCCAGCAGTTGAAAGGAGTGCGTTGCTGACAGCAGCAAGGCTGCCGGGACCCAAGCTGTACATCCACAAGAACTGAATCCAGTAAACAGCCTGTGAAGGTCAGAAACAGGTTCTTCCTCAGCTTCCAGATAGGAACGAAGTCTGGCTGACACCTTCATTTCCACTCTACAACCCTGAGCCCTGCATCCATGCCATGCCTAGACCTCTGACCCACAGGACTGTAAGGTAAGGTAATAAAGGTTTTAGCTATACATGTGTGGTAATTCGCTACACAGCTGCAGAAAACTCATGCTTGCTTTTCTTTCTTTGTAATCACGTCTACTAGAAGAAAGCTGTCTTATCAAACACATGACTTCAGGTAGGTCATGAGACTTAGTGTTTGTAGTAAAACGATTATTTTCTCATTAGATATGAACATTGAGAGACTAGTTCTTGCTAGAAAATAGTTTATTCATTCATTTAAAAATGTTAATAGTATAAAGGCATGTGTGGTGTTCAAAGAAAAATGATCCAGAAGTGTAGAACTGTAGTCTGAAAAGCAAGAGTTCCTGCTCCTTCCCCTCCCTACTCTAATTCTTCCTCCGGGAGAAGAAACTACTCCAACAGGGTAGTCGGCATTGTTTCCCCTGCCTGTGGCCCTTGTAAATGAGTCACAGGTTAATGTAAGATCTCATGTTAAATCTTAGATAACCTTTACTAATTGTTTCCTATGGAAGATGAAGATTTTACCTCTCTCTCTTTTTCCTTTGCTTCCCCCTCTTCTGACGTAGTTAACAGTTTTATTTTCCCTTTTAGTTATTATCTGTTACTTGGCAAAATCTGCCTGTCTGTCTTGTGGACATGGACATCCTTGTGGGCTTTTAATCACCTACCAGAGGTGCAAGCTGAGGTCTTCCTAACGGTTTCTGGTCCTGAGCTGGGCTCCTCTTTGCTGCTTTCCATGTTTGGGCTCCATTGCACTTTATCCCCTAAGCCTTGGATTCAGAGGGCCAGAAACCATCACAGCACAGGTGGTGAGTGGCTCCAGAACAAGAACAGCTGAAGCCTCCCTAGAGACGTGCTAATTGGTATCTCAGGTGTGCAAAGTCGATTAAATAATTAAATGCCACTCTCTAACCCTGTGTTCAGGCTGATGGTAGAAAACCTAGCTAAACATAATCTTTTCAGAGTTTCATTTGGAGTAAATAACTCTTACTCAAAGGCTTATTTGCTGACTTGCCCTTTGTCTCTCTGGCTTTTCCCCTGAGTGTCCGGCCTCTGGGAGTTACTGGTTCCAATCCTTGTCATATTGCTTGAGTTGTTTATTTTCCTTAGTTCCTCAACTTGAAGTCTTCACTCTGTCCCGGCTCATCTTAGCCGTATTACCTCTCTGGGGCCTCTAGACTTTTCTCAGCCATATTCAATCTTCAGAGCTTGGGAACATTTGGAATTATTTCCTAAACCAACCTAGAGCTGAAGGAGGCAGGTTGGGCTCTGAGAGGGTAGGGTGTGTAAGATAAGAGGTGCTCTATGCTAGGACAACTCTTCCGAGGACTCCAACGAGAACTGATACTTGAATTATCTTAAACTCCTTACACTATTAGGGGTTTCCTCTTGCTCTTCTTGCCCTAGTTCATTAGAAATCGTATTAGTTGGGGAGTCGGGGTTCAGCAAGAGAAACAGAACCCGTAGGGAATACAAATCAAGGCATTTGTTGTAAGGAATTGGCTTATTCAATTTTGGGAGCAGGCTAGGCAAGCCTGACTATAGGGCAGGTCATTAGGAAGATCAGGGTGGGACTCTAATAGGAGCTGACACTGCAGATCATAGAGATAAAATTTCTTCAAAGAAACCTCAGTTCTGCTCTTGAAAACCTTCCTACTGGTTTAATCAAAATTAACAAGAATAATCTCTATTAGAGTCAATTGATTATGAACTTCAATCACTTCCACAAAATACCTTCATAATAACACGTAGACTAGTGTTTTGAATAGCCAGGGATTTGGAGCCTAGCCAAGTTAACACATAAAGCTATCAAAGGAGTTATTAGGCCATTGGAAAATTCCTTCTCCATTCTCGGGATTTTGGGACATGCACACACATACCCTGGCATGAATTTTAAGCCACTGGGTCCAGGACTTGAACCATGGTTGACTATATAGGAGTCCAGTGATGTAATCATTACGCTATCTACTGATCCCCAAACATAGTATCTTAAAACAAGAATTTAAAAATGGTTTTGTAGAGACCAGCAATTGGTGTAATGGCTATGTCGCTGGACTCCCATGTAGTCAACTGCAGTTCGAGTCCTGGACCTGGGGGCTTAAACTCACACTGGGAGCTTGTGCATGTGTGCCCAAGGTCCCAAGAGGAGAAGGGATTGTGGCGTAGCCATCACTCCTGGGGGGCGATTTCTCGCTTTCTGTCTCTCTGGCTTTCTAGCAAGCACATGCACCCTATAGCAAAAACCTCTCCCCACCAAAAACAAACAAAACAAAACAAAAAAACTGGTTTTGTGAGTCAGGAACTGGGGTGGAGCTGTCCAATTCTTCTACTTCACATGCCATCATCTTGGGTAACTTCATGGTGTCCACCTCATAACCAGGCTCTTCTGGAGGGTCAAAACAGGGTTTACTTTTATGTTCTGTGTCTTGAGTTTGGGCTCAACCAGGTGCCCTTCCCATGGTTCAGGGTCACGCCACATGGCCTCTCCTGCAGGGTAGTGGACTTCCTTACTTGGTGACTCAGGCCTTCAGGAGACTAGAGCAGACACTGCTTGTCCTGTTAAAGAGGAGGCCTGGAACTGGCCTGGTGCTGTTTCTCCCAAATTCCAGCGGTCACAGTAGTCACAGGCTAGCCTTGATGCACCAAGAGTGACAGGTCCCTAGTTTTTAATGCAAATTTGCAGCCATCTGTAATGCTTCAAACTGACCTCATTTCTAATATTTTTCCCCTTGTTCACAGTATCCAAAAGATACACCAGTCTTGGGCTGTCTTGGGAACATCGTAGGCACAATCCTGCCCCAGGATCTTGGCTTTTGTGGTATTCTCTGCAGATCTTGTCTTCTCCCGTGTGTCATGTACTCGCTTCCTTCATGGTTTTACTCAAATATGCTTTCAATGAGACCTTTCTTTCTAAATAATCATATTTAAAATTATAGTCTTCCCACCACTACATATACATTCCTTATTCCCTTCCCTACTTAATTTTCCCCATACCATTTGGTGATATTTGACATATTTGTAAAATATATATATTTATTTTTTCCAAGTAAGTTTCAGATGGGTTAAGATTTTTCATGTGAATTTTGTTCAGTGCTACTACTATATCCTAGAACTAGTATGTATTGTGAAAGTTTTACTCAATAAATATTTTTGAGTGAATAGGAAAATTAAGTAGCTTCTTCAAACTTTCATCTTGGCTTTTAAGTTCTATTTTACAAATTAAAAAAACAATTTGGGGGTTGGCAGGTTGGTGTGGTGGTTAAAGATGCTGGACTCCCACATGGTGACCACGGTTCAAGTCCTGGGCCTGGTAGCTTGCTTTCTCACTTTCTCTGCCTGATAAAACTGGAAAGTAATAATAACAATAAATATTTTTTAAAATACCCATTGTTTTTGAGCAATGAAGAACACCCAATTATGGTAATAATAATAATAAATATTTTTTAAAATACCCATTGTTTGTGAGCAATGAAGAACACCCAATTATGTTTTTTTCCCAGACACAATTATGTCGCAGGGATGGGGGAAAGATGGTTGTGCCAAATATCTTATACCCAAGAATGGAAATGTTTGACTCTTCACCAGCAAGACACTAATCTGCACTTTTCCTCCTCCTGGAATTGTTTTTTTGCCAGTTAAATTTATTAAGTTAAATACCTCGATGCATTGTTTTCTGATAACCAAATGTGTGATTAAGAACTTCTACTTGTCTACCATGTTACTCACAGAATCACTGACACCAGACACAAATGATTTGACTCATGAATGGAATAACTTTGTTATTTTGATGCTTTCATCATATTCTTCCTAAGGAAGGTCACAAGAGCAGGATGCCATCAAGGTATAAAACAAGCCTGTCCTTCCCAGGCCAGTTAGTTTCTACTGTTTCCAGAAAACTTGGGTGGAAAGGGAAAGCATATATCCTGGAGGCCACTATATTAATAAGACAGCATTTTTTATTTTAAGGTCAGCCTTTTGTATTTTTCATTACAGAAGATAGTCCTCTTAGAGCCCACCTGTCATATCTGAAGCTTCGTGTGTTGATATAATTGTTAGTTGCACAATATATTTTACTGCTCAACTTTAAAAGTCGCTTGACTTCAGATATGTTCATTGTTCTCGCAGCTGCTGCTTTGTTAAATCATTCCTCCCACTTCAGACTGTAAATGCAGAGATGAGCGGTGATGTGCTTCAGAACCGATAGTTAATACATAAGCACGCATTTCTAATGCAGCTTTGACCTGGGCTTCAGGAAAATGTATATATTGCTTTTAAAATAGTCCATTTTACAATTAGAACTAAAAATGCGACATGCTTTATAAATTGTTTTAAGTGTGATGTTTTTCTAACAAATTAAGACCCTAGAAAAGAATTCATAAAACAAGAATGAAAAATGCAAGTCATAACCAAATTATGCCATAGAGTTTGTATGCCAGTAACTGCCTTATCCTTTTGGAGAACTTGGCGAAATTTAAATATGCTGTGTCTTATGGTGTCAATATTGGATTCAATTCTTGCAGGTAGATAGCATAGTTTAAAGCCTTATACATACAGTATGTGTGTGTGTGTATATATACCCATATATATACATATAACTCTTCAAGTGGAAAAAAAATTGGTTGGGGTTGAACAGAGTTGGGAGTAATGACGGGAACAATGGGGTTTCTCTGTCTTCATGCAGGTGACAGAGGCAGTAATTACATGATCTATTGTATAACTGAAGCAAGGCGATGGGCAGACCCTGCCTCGTTCTTAATAGCTGTGACACTTGGAGTATATTTCTTATCGATGAGATGAAGAGAGAAAACCAAACCTTATGTCTAAGGTTCATTGCATTTCTACATTCTATGCTTTATATTTTTAAACTGGATAAAATTCACACTCGTTTATTAAGGGTCCATCATGTTAGGCCATGTTCATTAGATATTTTGCATGTGTCAAGTACCTTGTAACTATCGACTCAGTAATCCTCATATCCCTATGCTGTAAATGATGAGTAAATGAGAAACTGACTCAAGGTC